CAGAGAATAGAATGTTGATGGATTATGTCTGAAAAACCCACCTTTCTTAATAGCTTTGATTAAAGTGGGTTCCAGTTGAGCGGCAACTGTTGCATCATCGAGACATTCCACGTGATTTGCTATGAGATTCAGGAAATAAGGCTTAAAAAAGTGGTCATTGCAACAAAGAAGCCTTAAAAAATTACAATTGCTTAAAATGTAACGAGGATCATCCCTTTGTTTAATTTTCATCCACCACAGGGTGATTTATGTTTTTACGCTACTTTTCTGGATTTGCTCAATTTTTCCTTTTCCTGATGCAGATTGTGTATTCCGTTATCTTGTAACGCTGCACGGCAGATTTATATGTTTACATATGAAATTGTTACCTAAACGGAAATGAGCTGTTGCCCTGTTGCTGTAAAGCTTGGCGTTCAGCCGTTTATCTTTGCAGTTCACTTGAAGTCCTTCCGTGTAGGAGTTTATCGCGTCATTAGCTTCTCCTTTTCTGTACTCTTTGTTACCTTTCTCCAGACATACCTTCGCTATTTCTGAAAACACAAAGTTTTGGTGTTAATGATTTAATGATGAGTGATACGACCCTTGACGGATGATGCCAACTTTATATATCCAAACGAACTCTTAGGTTAAAAAAACAAACAGAAAAGTTTAATATATGTACATTTTGTTTGTGTGCAAGCTGTTGGGAGTCTGGGCTGTAGCTGTTACGGGAAAATTTACTGACTTTTCCCGTGTGTGTTATTCGAAACATAATTATTCGTAAACTTTCACATTTAACCATTTCAAGTCCTTTCATTTTAATAAATCAAAAAAATGTATAAAAACCACAGTAGCTTTTAGAATAGATTTTTGTTGTTACTCGCTTTCATCACATGCACCTGCTTGTCAGCACTTTTGTTATTTATTACATGGTTTTTTTTAGGTAAATATAAGTGTTAATGGTTTTTTGGAAACATTTGTTTCATGGTAGATGGCAGCTGAGTTTATACTCGTAAATCTAATTTCTTTTCATGCGATGGTTTCCAAACCAACCTTGCATTAATAAGCAGAAACTTTTAATTGCTTTTCCGTTTTTTATTTCCTAAGCTGCGCTACTGCAATTAAGATAGGTATTGTTTTCCATACCAGAGCTGTAAATTCGCACCTAAGTTTCCTACGTTAATGGCCTAGAGTTTATTG